AATTTTTGATTCGTCAAAATATCCTCCTTTATTCTTTATTACAGCGGCACAAATCTTTGGCATTCTATTGATCAATTTACGTAGTATTTCGGGTTGTATTGCATTCCATTGTTCTTCCAACATGTTCCAAAGGCTTTCTCGAGAAGATGGTTGCGTTTCTCGCACTTTTCTGTCAAGTTCTTCCCATAACAACTCGATTGGATTGAGATCCGGCGATTGTGGTGGCCAATCCATGATTTTTAGTACTTCTTGTGTTTGGAGGTCTTCTAAATACGACTTACAAATTTTGCTAGTATGCTTTGGATCATTATCATGCATAAAAACATATTGATCCGGAAATAATCTCTCACCAGACGGCAGTACTTGTTGTTCCAAAATTTCTCTATAAATTTCTTTCGTCATTATTCCTTCAATTCTGTGGATCAATCCAACATTTTCTCCACCAAAACATCCCCAAACCATGACAGAGCCACCTCCATGTTTGACAGTCGGCACTAAACATTCTTCAGAATACCTTTCTCCAGCATATCTTCGGACGAAAACGCGTCGTTTTGAACCAAAAAGTTCGAATTTGGACTCGTCTGTCCAAAGCACGTTTTTCCATTGTTCCATTGACCAGTTTTCATGCCTTTTAGCCCAATTTAATCTTTTTATTTTGTTAACTGGCCTTAATAAGGGTTTACGAGCAGCTACACGTCCATGTAAGCCAACTTGCTTCAGCCGATTTTTGACAGTCGAAGTGCTAATTTTAATTTCGTTGAAATTATTGTAAACTGATCGGATTTTTTCGGCAGTATACCTTCTATTTGATAAGGAAATGTTTTTTATTTCCCTATCTTGTAGTTTGTTAGTCTTTTTAGGTCGTCCAGAGCGGTTTTTGCTTGTATGGACACCACTTTCATGGTATCGTTGTAGTGTCCTTTGCACACAACATCTTGAAATTTTCATTTTTTTTGCTATCTGAACTTGTGAATAGCCCTCTTCGTGGTAAACAAGTATTCTTTCTCTTTCTGCAATGGTTAATTCTTTTCTTCTAGCCATTATTTGGACTTTTAGTTCCAAAACAAAAAAATTCAAAATTTTGTTAATAAAATATAAACTTTCAATATGTTTTTAATTACAAGGGAACAAAAGACCACTCACAATGACATTCAATCAAAGAAACACTAATCTAAGCTATCTGCGATCTTCTACTTGCACCAACAAGTACCCATGTTTGTTTTTTAAACAAATAAGAAATGTAGATTATGATGTATCAGCTATCCCTTGTTGATTAAAATATTATAAACAGTTCTAATCTACTAGTGATATATTAGAATCATAAATTAAAACATAAATACACTCATTGAAGTCGAAAAAATAAACAATTTAAGGGTATCTACATCTCGAAATCATAAATTTTTACCCTGCCTCAAACTTTTTGTCGGTAGTGTACATATATATAAATATATATATATATATACACACACACACATGTGTGTGTATATAATATATATATATATATATATATATATATATATATATATATATATATATATATATATATATATATATATATATATATATATATATATCTTATATACACACACACATGTGTGTGTGTGTGTGTGTGTATATATATATATATATATATATATATATATATATATATATATATATATATATATATATATATATATATATATATATATATATATATATACATATATATATATATTTATATATATATATGTATATATATATATTTATATATATATATATATATATATATAATATATATATATATATATATATATATATATATATATATATATATATATATATATATATATATATATATATATATTATATACACACACATGTGTGTGTGTGTGTGTGTGTATATATATATATATATATATATATATATATATATATATATATATATATATACATATATATATATTTATATATATATACATATATATATATTTATATATATATATGTATATATATATATGTATATTTATATATATATATATATATATATATATATATATATATATATATATATATATATATATATATATATATAAAATATAGGCCTCGGCAGGCTGCAAGACCTTTAGCTCTTGCTCTTGCCCACACTCCCCTTATTTGGAGAAACTTTAATTCCCTGCGAATTAATCATAACAAACCTATGCAAATACCCATCAGTTATTCGAACACACAGTTATTCAAAAAATCGGATATTTGAAACAATTTTTTAATCCCTTTGACGAAAACCCTGTCTGCTCTTCGAAGTTTTTATTTGTTTGAAGATACCATTCCATTGTATTTCAAAACATAACGTTAATAAACGTTATCAAAATATTTTAAACGAAATAATTTTATTAAAATGTAATTAAAAAACTGCAAAGTAGTGTTTTTAGAAGTTTCAACAAAAGAAAACAGTTCTGACAATCAAAGAAAAATATCTTACTCCTAAAGATTTAGAAAAAGAACTAATAATAAAATAAATGTGGCAAAAAAAGTTCAGTGTTCCTCAAAACACTTTAACTTACTGGATTACTCATAAAAAAGACATAATTAGCAAGTATGAGTCAGGTCAATTTGAAGCAAAGAGACAAAAGTTATGTTTGGGAAAGCATGACTCCATTGATAAAGCTGTATATGAATGGTTTATGAGCGTACATGAACAAAATGTAAACCTAAAGCTTTTTCTCTAATGATGTGTCCACCAACCGATTGGTGGATACATCATTAGAGAAAAAGCTTTAGGTTTTGCAAAAGAACTCAACATTGTGGATTTTAAGGCTTCAGAAGGGTGGCTTGATTGGTGAAAAAATAGACATAATTTTGTTTTTCGAACTATTTCTGGTAAGGAAAGGTCATGTACAGCGAAAAAGACATCAAGTTGGGAGCAAATTCATTTACCCACAATCCTCTCAAGGTATGAATTGAGAGATGTTTACAATGCTGACGAGTTTGGTTTGTTTTATCAACAGCCACCAACAAAAACCTTTCATCTAAAAGGTAAACAATGTGCAGGAGGAAAATTAAGTAAAGTTCGTTTAACAGGCTTAGCAGGGGGAAATAGGGTTGGTGAAAAGCTGCCTATGTTTATAATCAGAAAAGCAGAAAAATCACGATGTTTCAAACGTGTTCAAAAGCCTACCCTGTCAGTACAAGTCCAAAAATAATTCCTGGATGATGCTTCCTTGATGGATGGATGAACTCTAAAATCTTTACTGATTATGTAAGGAGATCTGACGCAAAGTTTAATGCTTAGGGTAGAAAAATAGATAACTGCCCAGCTCATTCTAATTTTGAAAATCTCAAAGCAATTGAATAAGTTTACCAATTTTGAAAATCTCAAAGCAATTGAATAAGATTCAAACAATTTGCTTTGCATAAAGCCAAAATTATCAGAGGTTGCACATGCTATAAAGTTAATTGAATGTTGGTCTCTTTTTGAAAAAGCGGCGTCGAAAATCCGACAATCGCTAAATCTAGTATCAAAGATGTTTGATAATGATTCTTTAGAGGTAAAAAAACAATAGAAAATGGACAACTTTTTCAAAAAATTGTAAAGATTTTATTTCTTTATTTTAGATTGTTTTTTTTAGAAGGAAATGACTTAAACGGCATCTTCTTCCAAAGTTTTTCTTTCAGTTATTTGAAGTAAATTCTTGTTCCTCTTGAAAGATCGAATAACTGGGAGTTTACTGTATATATATATATATATATATATATATATATATATATATATATATATATATATATATATATATATATATATATATATATATATATATATATATATATATATATATATATATATATATATATAGAAATATATATATAGAAATATATATATATATATAGAAATATAAATTTTTTTTTTGAAAATCAAAATGTGGAAAAGTTCAATCGTTATATTATTAAGTATTAGTAGCTTATAGTGAAAATTTCAGCCTTTCAAATCAACTCTAAGGTAGAGAAGGTGGTTTTAGTTTCTGTATAATAGAATACTATATTACTTACTTTGTAATAACTTTTTTTACGTTGAAGAATTTAGTAAAGTTTTTTTATTTAAGTAAATGTTTTATTAAAATTATTAATACAATTATTATTTTGTTATTCACACATTTTTATTTATAATGTATGACAAAAATCATTAAAAATAAAAAATAATATATTTAATAATTTTAATAAGATGTTAAAAAAAAAAAGATTTGTTTGCTAATTCTCCTAACAATCAAACTGCGAGCGGACATAGAAGTTTAACATTATAAGTTTTCATTTCATTAAAGAATATTTTTCAATTGTTAAGCGACTTTTTCCAAATAACTTTTTAAGTGTAGATAATTATAATAAAAAACAACACATGTATCCTATCTATGATATGCATTTTTTTTTTTTTGCTCAGAAAAAAAAAGTATTTTTCAATAGTATTATTTGCTGTTACAAAACAAACAACTCTACAGTAAGCTATATTTATACAATAAATTTATAAATATATACTATTTTATAAACTGTACTGTTAGCTATACTTTCAGACAATGGCTTCAGGAAAAAATGCCACAATACAATACTAGAGCCAGCTGAAGATTTGAGACTGGTTGCAAGAAGGCATAGACAGTCTTATTTGTTAGGCTTTCCACTGCAAAGCTTTGCCCCAAATCGACTTCCAACAACTGGAGAACTACTCAAAAGGATCTTGTATGTATATGTATATATATATATATATATATATATATATATATATATATATATATATATATATATATATATATATATATATATATATATATATATATATATATATATATATATGTATATATATGTATATATATGTATATATATATATATATATATATATATATATATATATATATATATATATATATATATATATATATATATATATATATATATATTTCTATAGTATTAATTATATATTACTTTGTTTTAAATACATAACTAATATTTTATACTAATTTTTTCTTTTCTTTTAGCTTAATAATTCAGTTGATACCTCAAGTAATCCACTTCAAGATATTTTTAATAACATTAAAAATGTAATTCATGCTGGTAAAAGGTTTTATGTTATCATGAAATTAAAAATATATTAGTCACAGACACACATAAACACACACACACACACACACACCATTTCTAAGTTTTTGCAACTACTATATTTATAAGCAGCCTATTTCTATTTTTTGGTCAAATGTCGGTTATTAATTATTGATTTTAAACTTAAGATTAAAACTAAGTTTACCATTATAATAAAAAATTGTATTTAATTTAAATTTTTTAAAAATTTTAATTTTTAAAAAATGGTAGTTTTTAAATAATTTATTCTGCTGACTTATTTATGTCTACAACATAAGTGATGTCTTCAATAAAGTTAAAATAAGTGAATGTCTTAGAATGGATGGAAATTCTTTTAAATAGTTTCCACATTTGAATACATGCCTTTTGATCTGCAAATTTTGATACCATTTCTCAAATTCTTAAATACAGACATTGACTTAAACCTCTTCTCTTCTGGGGGGGGGGGGGGGGGATTAAAAATTTTTTCTTACAATTTTAAATTTTTTTTTTACATTTGTATTTATTTTTTAAAGAAAAATTATTTTAAAGCTTTCAACCAAGATTTTGTTTCTGTTGTCTGAAATTTTAGACGATGATCTGCAACAACCAGTAAATTAGCTTGGTTATCTTCTTCGTTTCGGAAAGTTTCAATAAAGTCTTGACCATGTTTAATTGCACGTTCTGCACTGTCATTTACAACAAGAAGACCAGTGATATAATTTTTAAATCTTATATAACCTGAACATGTTTCCCAGTTTGATGAACTGATTTTCAGCCATTCTGTCTCATGTAATGTCATTTTAAGTAATTCAAAGAAAAACCTGAGCTAATTTAAGAGCTAATTTATGTAGCTGATCTACAGGTAAGCATTTATCAGCAAGACACATAACCACAAATCTTTCATTTAAATACCGATTGTGTTTTTCAAGTGACTTTAGTACGGCCTCTGCTGGTTTAAGACATAATTCAGAATATTGTATCATGTCATTAATGGCTTTTAGATCTAAAGAAGGTGCTATGGCAGGGATAGGAGCTTTAATAAACCATGGAACATAAAATAGTGCTGTAAATGAACCAATTTCATGAATCAGCTTTCCGTCTTACATGATGTGAAGCCATTGGAAATCTAAAGTGAAAATCTTTTACTTTCCACCTAACCAAAGAACTGCTAACTGTATAAAATACTTGCAGTCATTTCTTGGAAATATATCATTATCGAGGCAATTTTGAAGAAATGTTAATGATTCAGAAGCCAAAAATAAAAAATAAAGAAAGTTTATTATTAAAACTTATAATCAAACAGATTAGTCTAATTAAGACAATCAAACCAACCTGCTTTTCCAAAAAAGATTTAACTTTTTTTTTCTTAACTAAATTTTAATAATAAGGTGAATAGTTATTAAATTCATCGAGAAATATTAAATAAATAAATAAATATAAAAATATTTTATGACTTCTTTTCAATATTTACCTTTATATGTAATTCGTAGACATGATGATGACAAGCCATCCAAATCAAAGTTTTTCCTCTCCACTGCTCAATAAGAGTACAGACCCCTTTTAGCCAACCAATATTTGTGACTGTGGTGTCAAAGGACAGACAATCAACATAGTCAAATAGCTCCCAGTCTTGTAAAGTTTTTTTGATTGCTTTCCCAAGAGACTCAGCAGTGCCATCTTTAACAATTAAAATACCCAAAAGTTGGGATTCTGAAAGATCTGGTGAACTGATTAGCACAGCTAATCTTTCAGTTTTTTCTTTACCAATTTCTCTCAATTCTACCATAATTTTGGAGTCAAAATGCACGGTAAGACTTTTACCCTTAGCCAATATAATAAAGTTGTCTTTAATTTTACAGGCAGTTGTACTTATACTTGATTTTTTCTGCCTTAAAATACTTCGTTTAGAAATAGAAAAATCATCTGTTGATCCAGAACTGTTATTTATAAGAGAAGCAAGAGTTGCACTCAGTGCAGTCCAACTTATTCCATATCGTGATGCTATTTGAGCTAAATATTTTCCTATATTTTTAGGAACTATAAGAGGAACAGCATTAGATTTTTGTAATTTTTATAGAAGGCTGTAGATACTGTTCATCTTGGTCATTATCTAAAGCATTTAAATTTTTCATTGTGTCATAAAATTTCTCAGTAACCAACTCTTTCTGTTTTCTTATGGACTCTTTTATACTTTGATTTTTTTTTTCTTTTTTTTTTTTTACAATATTTTGTGAAATTTTATCTTTACCCAACATTTTCTGAACACGCACTCCTTTCTGGTCATTAAGTAAATCTACAGCCTCTCTTCTAGTTTTTAAATCTTTAGTTTTATTTTTCATAATAGTATGTTCACAATTGTTTTGACTTACATCGAATACTTCCTCCAGCATTCTTAAAAAAGTTTCTCTTTTTAAAACTAAATTTTTACTTAAACGGTTCTTGTGTTTGTTTAAATCTTGTCTCTAAAACAAAAGTAAAAGAATGCATTAAAACTGTTGTGATTTATTATGAATATATAAAATGTTATGACTTTATAATTGTTACTTGTATAATATCAATTTTAAACTGGACAAAACTAAAAATTAAAAAGCATTTTAATATAATAAAAACCTGATATGTTTGTCAGTATTAACAAAAGGAATTCCTGCTTTTTGCCAAATTTTCTTCACCTCGTAAAGTGTATATATATATATAAATATATATATATATATATGTATATATATATATATATATATATATATATATATATATATATATATATATATATATATATATATATATATATATATATATATATATATATATATATATATATAAGCATTAAAACATCATATACGGTATCATACTATTTATTTCTTTTCTCTATAAGTAATATTTTGGCTCATATAGTAAGAGCCATTATCAAACTAATAAAACCATTAAAAAAACCATTTAAAAAATTATAATAAGCGTAAACAAATGATGTCATTGCAACGTCAGATTTCAACATTTTTAATTTTACAAAAAATGGTTTCCAATGGTGAGTCATCACCAAATTGCCATTGTCACGAAAACCAAAATCGCTGAGTCATCACCGATTTAGTGATGACTCACTGTTGGAAACCATTTTTTGTAAAATTAAAAAATGTTGAAATCTGACATTGCAATGATATCATTTTTTTATGTTTATTATAATTTTTTAAACAGTTTTATTAGTTTGATAATGGCTCTTACTATATGAGCTGAAATATCACTACTTATAGAGAAAAGAAATAAATAGTATGATACCGTATATGATGTTTTAATGCTTATAATTACACATACTATAAAAGATGTCACTTAAATTTTGTATATAAATATATATATATATATATATATATATATATATATATATATATATATATATATATTTATATATATATATATTTATATCATATATATATATATATATATATATATATATATATATATATATATATATATATATATATGTATATTATATATATATATATATATATATATATATATATATATATATATATATATATATATATATATATATATATATATATATATATATATATATATATATGTATATCAAGGTTAAGGTACCCTAACCCTAATGATGAATATTGTTTTTTTGCCAAAATTCTTACATTCAGCAATATTTCTGCTAAATTTCATAAGGACAGGGGTACTGCTACCCAAAGTAATTTCCTAAAATAGCCCTTGTTTATATATATATATATATATATATATATATATATATATATATATATATATATATATATATATATATATATATATATATATATATATATATATATATATATATATATATATATATATATATATATATATATATATATATATATATATATATATATATATATATATATATATATATATATATATATATATATATATATATATAATATAGAATTAGTAGCTAGCAATTTGTGTTGTCTTTAGGCGACAAAGCAAGCATCCAACCTGTTGCACTTTCATCTTTTGTGGCTGAAAATTCAACATATAGTTATTATTACTATGATGGATCGTTAACTACGCCAGAATGTTCTGAATCAGTAGTGTGGATTGTTAACCAAAAGTTTATGAAAGTTTCATCAAGCCAGGTTTTAACATAATAACTATAAATAAAGTTTAAAAAATTAAATCATTTATATATTTTTTTAAGTTCTATGGTTTCACTAAGTATTATTTTAAGTTCCATGGTTTCACTAAGTATTATTTTAAGTTCTATGGTTTCACTAAGTATTATTTTAAGTTCCATGGTTTCATTTTGCTAAATATTTTATCAGTTCGGAACTGATAAAAATACTTATCAAAGTGTATCATGGAACTTTGGTAGTACATTTTGCTAAGTTTCTTTAATGGTTTCACTTTGTTAAGTATTGTTTTTATACCTCTTTTTAAATATCTTTTATTGGAAAATTTAAGGTACTTTTTTTTTATTTAATTTTGCAATGCTTACAAGCATTTGTTCAATATTTATTTTTTATTTTTAGATATCATAATTAATCATAATTTAGATATCAAAATTAGTTTTTTTGAAAGATAATTTTAATTTAGTTAAGGATGTGACTTGATTGATATTACTTATAAAGCGGTTGACAATTTTTTGAGTTTTAGTGACTTAGCTGCTATTTATATTAAATTTACTATTTACCATAACTAAGTTATAGTAAATAGTAAATTTAATATAAATAATAGTAAATTTTTACATTTTCAATTTTTTCATTTAATCATTCTTAAAAAACTTATTACTGATATGTAGATCTAATATTTAAGCTCACACCACATTGTTTAAGGAACATGAAGTTATTATAAAAATAGTGTGCATATTTCTATATTTACTCAATTTAGAAAAAATGTAATATGCTCTTTTTAAATGTAAAATTCGTATAACAAACTAGCTTCAAAATATTGTCATTTTTCTTAAATTGTTAGAAAAATATTTCAGCAGTTTTTAGTTAAATATATATATATATATATATATATATATATATATATATATATATATATATATATATATATATATATATATATATATATATATATATATATATACTTGTTTTTAGTCTATTGCAATTAAAATTTGATTTAGTGGACAAGAAATAGATGAGGCAGGAGTAAAAGACTTGATTCTGTAATGTTAACTATTGATAAGTTACATGTTTAATCTTTGCTCCCACTACATTATACTCTATGTACAATTAAGTTTTTTAAATTTTAGGCAATTAAAAAATTCAAATCTAATAAATGTTAGCATGATGCCAAAAATAGCAAAAAATAATTATTTTATTATCTCTATGTTTTGTTATACTATTTATATATTTTTTTCTATTCTGACATTCTTTTATATACAGCATTTCTAAATTCTTCTGGTATTTTGCTGCATTTATGAACACCAACAAAACATTTCCACATTACTTGCAACCGTATGACTTAGTATAAGGTTTATATATTCAATAATCAAAAAAACTACTTGTGAAGAACATGCAATAACATCAGGGTTGGCAAAAAAAACCAACCCAAAAAAACCCACCTTAAAAAAACCCAAAAAAACTCAAAATATGCTTGTTTGTTTTTTTTAAATGTCCTATTTTACAACTGATAACTCTGATTTTGAAACTTATAAATGCTTATAAATCAGCAAATGCAACTTTTTTACTTATTATAATTATTATTTTATAATTATTCTTGTAAATTTTGTATTTATATACATGGTTTTGAGAATATATCCAAAACCGATCAATCTGTTTTTGTAGCAAGTTGGTTATTTATTATTTTTTTAAAACATATAGCAAGATATTATAAATGTTATTGAAATATGAATTAAAACATTAAATTAGTTAAATACTTATAAAGGAAAAAAAATCATTATATTAACTAAATTTCAAGACATTACTAGTTATTTAGTATCTTTATTCTCCTCTCAAATGTCTATATTTCCTAACAAGCGTTTTATATGTCATTTTATATTGTTATTTGGTCTTTTATTTTTTAAAGCTTAAGTTGTAAACTGCAAATTTCAGTACAAAGCTACAAGCAAAATACTATTTATAAAAATTATTAAACTTTATTTACAGTTTAGAAATGGAAAGTTGTCAAGCAAAAAAAAGTGCTACAGTTTACTAGATTTGTCCTTATTAAATGCATACAACTTTAAAACATAAAAAAATTAAGTTAGGTGCAAGCAAGTTTGCATCATGTTTGCTCATTCAATGAGAGAACATGTTAAAAACCTTTATGCATTTCACAAAGAACAAGATTTGTTGGTAAAAATGATACTCATGCTCATCTGTCTATTGACAGGTTTTGAATATTTTGCATCAGCTACAAGTTTACAACATGTACCACCAACAGAGGTGACTATGAACAGCGGGTTGAAAATGAACATCAGTATCAAGGTGCTAAAAGGTGAAGAAACACACTCAATAGAGCTATATAATGTGTTACTTTGATTCAGTTGCAAAACTGAGCTGGTAAAACATCTTCAAGGAAAAAAAAAAGAATCTGGTGATGAAGACACTGTATGGTTCTTAACAAATTCATTTTAGATATTTTAAGAACAACTAAAGTTTAGGCAAAAATCCATTTTTTGCCTAATTCCAGCTGATCAGGCCAATAACTTTTCCAGGAAGCTGTACAGTATAATATTCTGATAAAAAAATGTAGTGATTAGGCTAACAGTTTTCTTCTATTATTAAAAAATGTTTAAAAAGTGTTCATAGTCATCCTGATTGACAATAACTTAAAAGGTTGCAACATTATGTTGAAAACTTGTTGATTAGATGTTGTAAACTTGTGCAAAGTAGTTTTTAAAATGATATGTTAAATATGTTAGTAAAAAAAAAACTAGTTTGCAACATTTATATTGTCTTACCAACTTTGAATAACTTAATTGTCATAATAATTTTTGTAGTGATTTTTTTTTTAATCAAAAATATTCTGAACATGTTTTTAATTTAATGCAATTAATTAACATAATTTATAGTTGATGGAGCCCCTTTTTACACTATAGGTAAAATTTGCTAGTAGACTAGTGGTAAAACATTTGGCTTGCAGTCAGAAGGATGGGGTTTAAATTACCTCTGCTGAAATTACTGTGCTCAATCTATTTTTCCGCACAGCACTTTTGTTTAAAAATTTTAATTGTTAATTTTTTTTGTTAGTAAAAATGGTAATTTTAAGGATTGAGACAAAATATTTTTAAAAAATGAGTTGCTCTCTTGACTGAAGTGGTCATTGGAGCAATAGGGTTGTAAATTTATTTTTGTGTTTTTTTGTTTATAGTTATTTTTGTTTGTTTTTTGATTTTTAGATTTTTTCAATTAAAAAAATTCTTACAAGTTATATTGAAATTTATTATAATATCAACAATTAATACAAAACTTCAAATAATTGTCTAAAAAATGATATAAAATATTTTTTAAACCTCAGGTTACTGAATCAAACTTACTTAACATACAAAATGTTTAGTAACATCTGTTTAGTAACTCAGTTCAACAACATTATCCAGATAAAAATTTTGTGGGGACCCCTCTGCCGTGGTACACCAACTTGTGTCTAACTCTTGGTCTGCATTATCAGAATCTATTTTGCTTTTAATTGTAGATTAAAGATTGTCTACTAAATGAATTTTAACTGCTGTACTTGTTAATGAAAGCAAAAAAATTTAACTAGGATATTGGACAGCATGAAACAATATAGCATAAGAATAACACCACAACAAGATTGAAAATAACTATTACAGACTAACAATCAAATTCTTTAAAATCAACCTTGTGGCTGACCATTAATTATATCAACAATTTTTTTTGAAAATTTTTACCTCCTCCTCCTCCTTGTCAACACTTTCTCAAACTGCCCCTTGTTCCTTTTTTTTTAAATTACGTCAACATTTGACTCTTTGTCAACATTTCCCCTCTCCTCTTCCTCTTCATCAAGAAAATTAAATAGAAAAATCTTTTATTTCTTTTTTAAAAAAAATTTAATTTATTTAAAAAAGTAATATTGTTGGCGTCAACTTTTCTTGACCTCCCTCTTTTCTCTTGTCAACAATTGTCAAAAATTTGACATAATAAATGAACTTAACAAATTCATTTTTATTATTATTATAGTTGTTTTATAAATATTTATTGCAAAATATATCCCCAACCAGTGATCTTGTCTAATTTTAAAAGAAATTACAGTTGAGTAGAATGTTACTTATCTATTATATAGTTGCTTGTGTCTTGGAAGACAGTTTGGAACATATTCACGCCTTATTTTACTATGGTGACCACGTGACTAAGTGTTTTGATATATAACTGCCAAAAAACATTTTGGTTGATATATATCATTAATTATATAAATCGATGTATAAGTATAAATATTTGAATGAGATCGCATTGTAAACGCGAAAACTCAAGTGATGGTAGATTTAGTCTTTTTAGTCTTTCTTAGTATTGAAGATTTCTCAAAACGGCTATATCAGGTAGAACGCAACTAGTGGAATCAAGAGATGATATTGATGAAAAGTTCTTAGCAAATAATTCAGCTTTGTCTTAAGGTGAGGTGACAAATTCTGAACCATACAAAAGAGGTGGAATTACAGACTTGCCTTTTATTATTGATACTGTTAAAGATTTTCCAGAAGTCATGAGAGCCTAATTTTTGTGATGAAATACGAGATTTCATGACCTGAGAATAGCCGGCTTTAGCATTAGACAAAACTTTTTTACAATGGTTTCTAGCAGTATTAAACAGATGTTTGTTTTCTGGAGTATTTTTTTGCTGATAGATATGGAAGAAATGGTTTCGATTGGCGATTGTAGCAGCACAATGTGAGGAAAACCATGGATAAGAGTAAGGCTTGACCTGGAATCGTCGAGAAGGAATAAAAATCAAAGTCTTTACAACTTTTAAACAGTTAAGGGCAAGTGTGTACATCAGTTGTGTACGCAAGTTAAATAGTTTTTATCTTTAACATTAGTTAAGGGCAAGTGTGTACATCAATTGTGTACGCAAGTTCAATAGTTTTCATTTTTTACATTAGCAATAAAGACATTAATGTGTTAAAAAATATTAAAGTGTTAAATTATGAATATTTAAAGTTTTTATTTTAATAAAATAGTTAGCCATTGTTTTAAACAATAAATTTTTTTATTATTTATTTTATTTTAATAATTTTAAACTAAACTACTTTTAAACTAAATTTTTTCAGCTAAAAGATTTTCGTACATTGAAAGGACATTATCATAACATCAGTAATTTAGTTAAAGAAGAAAATTTATTACAGAATGATCGACCAACACAGCCTTTTAATAAAAGAACGCTTTACACGAGTGTAAATTTTATAAATAGTGTCACTTCTTTTTCTAAATCCTATTCTGCAGCTGCTTCGTATATTCTAATTTTAGGGGAAACAATCTCGTTGTTTTTATTTTTTGTGGAGTTTTAAGTTATTCGATACTTTTTTATAAATCATTTTGAATGAGAATATTTTTTAACAAGTTTTTAAGTTTATATTTTTTAATGATATTTAATAAGTTTGTAATTTTTGATATCTATTTATATATTTATGACATGAAATATTTTAAAAATTATTTGCTATGTGTTCTTCGTGTGCACTGGTGCGTTATATTTTCTTTGTGGGCCGAGTATCGAGAGGGTATTACTAGTTCAGTCAGCAAAAAATAATAAAAACGCTTGCTTCAAATCAAAATGTCCAAAGTTTAGTGCTTGGCCATATTTGGGGTTGCAAAGCGGTAAGAGTTTCCTTGTTAAATGTTCTTTTGCAGTGCTTTGTGGCGAAACGGTTAGCTTTTATAAGAGCTAACCGTTTTGCCACATTTTGCCATATTAAGTATAATAAAGCAACTAAATATCAAAAAATAACAAAAGAGCTTTTGATGGATCAAGAATGTACTAAACACAAACCTGTTTTTTACATCAAGAAAAACTATTTCTTGATGTAAAAAACAGGTTTGTGTTTTGTGCACTTCAAAGTCTATAAAACACAGACTTGTGTTTTGTAAAAAAAAATATTTGTTGTATAGATTTTAAAAATTTTTAGGGACATTCACTCTAAAAAAATATAAGTTGTATTTTACAATTTAAAAATAAAGCAATTAAATAAATAACAGATACGGATGCATCATTTTTTGACGTTTGAGCTCACTTCCTGATAGGAAGAAAACTTCAAGCATTTATGTTTATACTTAAACGATTAAGGTTGCTTTGCAAAATAATGCGATGATTGGATACTAGGAACAAAAAAGCCCTAGATTCTCAAACATCAAAAAATGCTTTATCTGCCCCAGGATTATTAATACAATTTACACAAAAGCTAATGAGTTAAAGTTGAAAATATCAATTTCTAAATCTTTTCGTGGCAATCTGTTTTCTGATATATACAGTAGAAGTGTATTTTTACAGGATCTGTTTTCTAATATATAATATATATAATATAGTAGTTCTGATATATATATATATATATATATATATATATATATATATATATATATATATATATATATACAGTAGAATTTTTGTCTTTTTGAATTTTTTATTCTGTTCTGCTTACTTAAAAAAGAAAATAAATCTTTGCAGTTTTATTTTTATAAATGGTTTTCTGTTTTATATTTTATTAACTAATAGTATTTGTTGTAGCTGGAAAAAATGTAGAAATGCTAAGGTCACTTTTTCCAGGGCCAAGGCCAAAACCAAAATTTTCAAGAAATGGACAAGAGCCTATGCCTACATTTTCAAGGCCAAAAACTTTTTGGCCTTGAAAATGTTTAGCTCAAGGCCAAAAATATTGGCCTTAAAACAAAGTCAACTAATAAATAACGTTAAAACATATCATATGATATAGATATTTTAAAGGATAGTAGTAACAATCTCGAATACAGCTATACTAAACAAATTTGAAAAGGGATTTTCCGGATTTATTTAAAAATAGAGAATAAAATGGAAATAGTGAACAAAAAAAAAAATAGTATCGAATATCCTAAAAACAGTATAAGATCGACATTAGAAGAAAATGATTAACATCGAAATAATTAAAAATTAAATAATGTCGAAAATTAAAAAAATGTTATGGTTTAATTTTTTTTTCATTAATAGACTGTTTGCCTAAAACAAACCTTCAGTCAATGTAGCAGCACTCCTTGCTATTACATCCTTGCTTACTTATATGTATTACCTATAATTCCTCCTTGCTTACCTATTTGAAGAAACTCTTGGGTTGAAAGATATAAAAATAGAAAGGGCACATAGAACTGCTACTAGAGACAATAAAAAAGTCAGATCCATAGTTTTGAATTTGCTCAATTATAAAGACAAGGAAAAGCTTTGAAAAAACTCTCGGAAATTGAAAGGGGAAAATATTTATATCAATGAATATTATTGCGCGGAGACAATGCTAATAAGAAAAGATATACGGGCGGGCATGAAGAAAGCACGAGAATCTGGAATGTTTGCTTATATTTCATACGACAAGTTGGTGGTTCGTGAATGGTCTCAAAAAGCAACGTAAATATTTTATATTTCTTTTAACAATACTTTATTTTTATTTTTTATTTATCAATAGTTTTACAAATATTAATTTAACTTTTAGAAATGGAGAACAATCTCTCTTATAATATTAATGCTAAAAATATTGTTTTTAGCAATAATAACTATGATAATTATACTGAAACCTTATTAGAAAGCGAGTACTATTCAATACCTGAATCTACTCAATATCTCTGTGAGAATAAGAATAAATTTTCAATATTGCATATTAATATTCGAAGTATGAATAAAAACTTCGAGAACTTCAAGTGTTTATTGGAAGAACTTAATCATGATTTTAAAATAATTTGTTAAACAGAAACTTGGCTTAAGGTGGTAGCAGGGTAAAAACGCTTTTTTTTTAAAAAGTCAAAATAATTCAATATGCTTTATTGTAATGAAAAATACTAATAAAAAAAAAACATTTAACACTATTTGCATAAAAATTAATAATGACGTCATCAATTGTACACGTCATGAACAGATTTTTGCCTTAATTTTATATGTTTCTTCCAACAAGGATAACTTAATGAAAAATGATCAGAATCACTTTTAATTTTCTAATTGCAATCTTTATTAGTAATACTATGTTCTGAGCGAAACAGAAAATAATTTTTTTTTTTTTAAACGCGCCAGGTTTACTGTCAAACTTCAAATTTCAAAAAAAGTAAAATATGTTTATGTAAAAATAGCACTGCTGGCTATGTTTTTATAAAAATTTAAAAAGTGCTTCGCTCAGAACACTCTAAATAGAACAATGTAACACCAAAAAAAAATTCAGCTTAGTAGCTTTATCCAATCAAAAGTTATCTTTGTTAAAAGACCACAAAAATTGGGAAAAATTAAAAGCAAGAAAAACCTTAAAGAAAAAATAAATAAAATTAAATGAAACAATAAAACTCAAAAACCAAATTAAAATGCTCCACTAGCATATGTCTCTCCTTCCTCAAGTTCATTTTTATCATTATGACCTTTTCTAATTGAAAGAAGTTTCTTTCTTCTTTTTTTTACTGAGCTAGTTGACTTTTTCTCAGATTGTTTGACACGACAAATATCAGATAATCTAAAACCTTCTTTAGTGAAATACCCATTGTCTATGCCCAGTTTATTAAAAACTGGAAGCAGTCCTTGGGCACCGTTATTGTATGCAATAACAGCAGATGCAACTGCAGTTTTAAAAACATCATTTCCAATGTATACCCTTTTTGGGCACCGTGTCCATATCAAATTGTTCAAAGACTCATTGACATTCTGGGTCTCACCATGTAAACATTTTGTCAGAAGTTCATCACTACCAAGACCTCTGTGAGAAAATATTGGAGCAATAACATCAGAAACAGCTTTATGAATATTGACTTTTTCTTTATATGTTTTTGCTCCTGTGATTTTATCACTTTGGTATCTGCACCAAGAATCAGAGCTACGTGGACAGAACTGATGTCGGTTTTCTAAATTTGGCTCATCTGTTGCGTGGTGTAAAACCGCAGCAACAGCCTTTTTCATCCCATACAGGTTGCCACTATTTTGTCGTATGGCCATTCCAACATGATTTTGAAGAGTGTTCATGACTTTAGTAGTTAGCCGACCTTTCCCTCCCCCAATGCTTTTACCATCAGTCAACTTTTTTCCCTTGTAATCGGCTTTAAGTTTACGCAGTCGTGTTCCAACACGTTTTTGGACATGTCCTATACATTCTCTTTTGGTAAAGCTATGACCTGGATATGGATCTGATTTACATATTTCTTCAAAGGATTTTGTATCACCATCTCCAATAAAAAATGTGTATCTTAAACAATGAAGACGTACTGAACGTGCAAACATTCTTTTCATTCCTACAACTTCCATAGCTCCAGCACTGCCAATGTGATTTATTGAACATACATGAGTTTCTTTCCAGTTATTATATGCATCTACATTCACTTTTTTTAGTTTCCACATTTCACATTGTTTACATTTTTTAGATAACACTTCAGTATCGATGCATTTCCCCTCCGAAATTAGTGTAACTACTCCATTCAAGGAAGAGTATCCTCTTTTTTGCCAAGCACCGTCACCACTAACTTTAGCATCAATAACAACAGAATCATCTACAGTTTTGTTAAAATGTATTTGTTTGGAAGCTTCTTTCATTGACTCTTGTGCTGTTTGTACATAGGCATTATGCAACTCGCTATTAATTTCATTATATGTTGTTTTGGCCATTGGTGATGGCATATTCATGCAAGAACAAAATGTTTTTATTGCACTAAAACCTTGACCGATCTCTCTAAATGCAGCAATTGTTTGTATATTAATTTCAAAACTTTTTTTTCTGGAAGTAGACTTAAATTTACTGCACTCTTTTGAAGAACAAAATGTTAATTTCCAATTACATTCGGTGCATGAAATATTAAAAAACTGGGCAAGACCCATTTTATTTGATAAAATATGTTCAATGTCTATTGTTGCAATACAAACAGGGCATCGTCCAACTATATTAATAAGAGACATAAAAAGATCACTGTCTATAAAAAAATTGCATCCAGGGGTGGCAATTGGAGTATGATTATCAGAAAATGAAACATTTAATTTTTTTCCAGACGCTGATTTTAAATCAGATTTATTTTGACTCAGTTCATTGTTTACTGTTGTTGATGTATTGTCAGTTAAAGCTCTTGTGGTAAATCCTTTCCTTTTTCTTGATCGTAATTTTTTATATCTTTTTTCAGAACCCATTCCAAGTAATAATAGCTTTATTAATTAAAATATATATATATTTTTAACTGAAGGATATAAGAATCTATAACACAACCTTTATTTAGAAGCTCTGAGTTGAGAACGGTTTTTGAGGCTTTAGTGTATAGCTTATAAACTGAATAAATAGAGATATTTAAAAGAATAAAAAGAAGCCTTTTAGGTGAAAACTAGAAGTTTTGATCAGGTTTTAATCCAGAGATATTTGAAAAAAAGCGTTGCAAAGGCGGTTGCTATGGCCTAAGAACTTAAATACCTTTATCTAGAAGGGTAAATTTTGTATGTATGCATAAGTTTTTTTAAATCAAACCAAGTTTCCACAAAAAATAACACCCTAAAGATCTCAAAAATATAGTTTTTGAAATTTTCAAAAAATTTCAAAATTTCTTTTAACAATACTTTATTTTTATTTTTTATTTATCAATAGTTTTACAAATATTAATTTAACTTTTAGAAATGGAGAACAATCTCTCTTATAATATTAATGCTAAAAATATTGTTTTTAGCAATAATAACTATGATAGTTATACTGAAACCTTATTAGAAAGCGAGTACTATTCAATACCTGAATCTACTCAATATCTCTGTGAGAATAAGAATAAATTTTCAATATTGCATATTAATATTCGAAGTATGAATAAAAACTTCGAGAACTTCAAGTGTTTATTGGAAGAACTTAATCATGATTTTAAAATAATTTGTTAAACAGAAACTTGGCTTAAAAGTAATAAAACAAATTCTAATTTTGAATTAAGAAACAATACATCAGTTCATCAAAAGCGCGATATTTGCGTTGGTGGTGGTATAAGCATATACGTTCACAGTTCTATTGAATTTATTCAACGTAAATATCTTAATGTAAACAATACAGATTGTGAGGCATTATGCGTTGAGATATTAAATAAATTAGCTAAAAATTTCATAATCAATGCTATTTATAGAACGCCAGCTGGTAGTTAAAAAACATTCAAAACATATCTGCGCACATTCCTAAACACAAAAAAATAGATTGCATAAGCATGGATTGCAAGTTGGAGATATCAGCATTGACTTACTCAACCATGCCTTAGTGAAGCAAAAACTTTTATTGATATTCTTCTCGAATACAGCCTTATTCCAACTATAAACAAAGCAGCAAGAGTAACTAAAAAATCATCGACATTATTAGATAATGTGATAACTAACAATTTTCATAATAGCCGTTTTAAAACTGGTATGATCAAGACTGATTTAACTGATCATTTCCCTATATTCCTTATTACTGAGAGCGTTACTCTAAATAATGCTACCCACAAATCAACAGTATTCATGAGACAAATCAATGAAAGTTCTATATGCCAATTTAAAAATTTATTAAATAATTATGTCGATTGGAACCTTGTACTGCAATTACACGATGTAAATAATGCTTATGATTTATTTCTAAACCAATTTTCTAAAATGTATGATAAGGCATTTCCTTTAAAAGTGAAAGTAATAAACTCAAAGTCGGTTGTATCCCCATGGATGACCAAAGGCCTACTAAAATTATCAAGAAAAAAATTGTATGATAAATATTTAAAAAATAAAACTTATAAAAATGAAACTAATTACAAAAATTATAAAAAATTATTTAAAAAACTAAAAAACGATCAAAAGTAAATTACTATGCTAAACTGCTTGAAAAAAATAAAGGAAACCCTCTAAAAACGTGGAGTGTTATCAGAGGCTTAATTGGGAAAAATAAAATTGAAAAAAACAACTTACCGCGAAAACTTATTACTGAGGAAAAAATGATTTATCATAAAGAAGTTATTATTGAGAAATTAAACAATTTTTTCTTGATGTTGGCCCAAACCTAGCAGCGAAAATTCCAGTTGGTCAAAAAAAAATTGATTCATATGTTGCAACAACTGGTTTAATTATGGAAGAACGGAGTTTAACCAAAAGTGAACTACATACTGCTTTTAATAGTCTGAAAAAAAAAAAAAAAAGTGCAGGTATAGATAAAATTAATGTTAATGTAATTAAATCTGTTTTTGATATTATCAAACCCTCATTATTCCATATTTTTAATCTCTCCTTTAAATCAGGTTATATTCCAGATAAACTAAAAATTGCACAAATAACACTTATTTTCAAATCTGGCGATGAGACCAATACTTCAAACTACAGGCCAATCTCAGTCTTACCCTGCTTTTCTAAACTAATTGAACGCATTATGTACAACAGACTTTATAAACATCTATCTGAAAATAAGATTTTATATAATAATCAATACGGTTTAAAAAAAAATCATTCTACTGACCATGCAATAATTGAATTGGTTAAGCATATATCAAATGGATTTAATAGTGATTGCTATACAATAGGAGTTTTTATTGATTTATTCAAAGCTTTCGACACATTTTATTAATCAATAATAAATAATTAAAAGGGAATTGACTACAAACTTTCTGGGAGTGCTCTTAGATGAAAAATTGTCATGGAAATTTCATATTAAATATATTGAAGGTAAAATCTCAAAAAATATTGCTATGTTATATTGAACAAAACCTTTTCTTAATAACGAGTCCTTAAAAAATTTATATTTTTCGTTTATACACAGCTATCTTTCATACTGTAACATTTCCTGGGGTACTACTAATCACACTAAACTCAAAAAAATTTATTGAAACAAAAAGATGCTTGCAGGATAGTATTTGGGGCAAAACTTGGGTTTTCTCCAGTAACATTTCAATCCTACTTTAATAAAATCTCCCATAAATATCCAACCAAATTTTCAGTGAATAACTTTGTGGTTCACATAAACCTTCTTAACTTAAGTTCGTACCAAATTCAATATCAGGGACCTTTAATTTGGAAAAAATTTCTTCCAATCTTTAATAAAAAACAAAACTTTGTTTTAAACTTCACTTTGCAAAGTTTTAAGGATGATTCAAAACGGCATTTACTGAACATGGAATTTGATATATTTGATTTCAAATACCTTTTTTGAAAACAATTTAAAGGTTTAAACTAAATCATTTAAAAATAAATTAAATCTTTAACACTTTCTTTAGCTTTTATTAAAATGGTTTCAAACCATTAGTAAATAAGATAACGAAAATAAAATAGTCTTTTTCGTTCATATTTTTGATTATATTAAATAATCAGCCCAAATACTTATGTTTACATATATTGCGTTTTTTTTTTAATTAAACAACGCATTTCTTTTGTGTTTTTATAACTTTCATGATTTTCTGTCGTTTTTACTTTTTTAATTTTAAAATTATTCTGCTGGAAGATTGTTAGCAACAAACTATTTTATTGCTGAAGTTTGTTTTTGTACTTTTTATACTGCTTTTTTGTCTTTTATCATTTATTGTGCATGTAAATTTTTGTGTGACGGGGCTCGGTGATAAGACAACCTGTCTTCTTCTTGCTCCGGCCAGGATTTTCTTTTATTGTAGTTTCTTTTTTTGTAGTATTTATTAACGGCAAAATAAATAATTAATTAAAAAAAAATAATAATAATATTTTCAGTCTAGCAGCACTCCTTACATGTTTTACCTATTTGACAGTTGATGTAGCAACACTCATAGCATGTTCTACCTCTTTGCTAGTTTTTCGATACTATTTCTAAATCCAAACTTTGACATCATTCCGTACAGGCATTTTCCACATTATTCCTTTGTAAATGAATTTCGATTTTTTGCGAATTAATTCCTTAAAATTTATTTTCAATACTATTTCCAAAAAAACGTTTTCGTTAAAAAAATTTTGCTCTTCGTTTGTTTTTCAAACAATTTTTTTTTTTGATGCCATTATGCTTAAATTGGCTAATCAAAAACGCCAATTTAAAACGCAAAATTAAAAACAAAATTAATTTCAAAAACTTTAAATTAATAAAAACAAAATTAACTGTAGACTACAATCTACAAATTTTACTACAGTGTAGTAAAATGTGTTATTTCAATGAAAGTGTTAGTATAATAATAATGTTGGCATTGGCCTTGGCCTTGAATGTTTTAGCCCTCCACCTTAATGAAATAATTTCATTAAGGTGGAGGGCTAAAACATTCAAAGCCAAGGCCAAGGCCAACATTATTATTATACTAACACTTAAATGGAAGATGAACAATCCAAACGAAATAAATTAATAAAACTTAAAAAAAATTGTTTTATTTTCTATTGTTTTTATTGTTGCTGAAAAAGTGGTCTAAGAAAAACATAACTTGTTACGTTAAACAAAAACGTGCTTTATTAAACGGCTTCGAAAAATTGATCATGAAACAATAACTAAATAATGGCGATATAAGTTTTTATTTTATTGAAGATTAGTAGCTACTTTTAAGCTTAATACTAACAGAATGTACTACTTGAAAAAAGAAAAAATTTTAATATAGTATTAAAAAAAAAGTTAAAATTAAATACAAATAGCTAGATTAGAACTTAAATTTTTTTAAAAAAACTGGAAATATATTATTTGTTTTCCAACACCATTAAAAACTGGTGCCAACGCGATTTTCATATTTTAGTCATTTATTGACTCAGTTAACCTGATTTTAGTGTCACTTATTTTAGGCCTTCCATTTAAATCGTCGAGTCCAAGTATCGCTTGCAGATTTTCGGAAAAACAAACCGTCTTCATTTCCTACAAAAATAAGAAATTGTTATTATTATACATTATTAAAAGTTCAAATTAAAAGTTATACAATATCTGAGAAACACGACATTGGGGAAACAGGATACTAAATTAATAAAATGGATATAGCTAAAATGTGATAAATGAGCATAATCTATACTATTATAGTATACTACGAAACGGTGATGGCAGAATTTATCAGAAACAAATCTAAAAATTTGCTAATTTTTTCCTTTTTTTTCTATTCATTTAACCATAAAATATAAAATTAGCAATAACACAATTAAAAATTACCTAAATATGGTTAGCTGTCACGATATACAATAATTCTTAGTCAGTCAATCAAATATTAAAAGGTCTTACGGGCACTGCTTTATTGACGCCATTTTGACAGCTTATCGACGTCGCTCAAGCAAAGTTTTGCGTTCTGCTTATAACTTTTTTTTGAAACTTCAAATGTTCTGGCAAGATTTTAAGCTTTAGGTGTATAATTATATATTGCGCGTAAGTAAATAGATTTACTTACGCGCAATATATTGCATTTTAAGATAGTAAAGTGTCTTTTAGATCTTCTAAATTAAGTTTTTTGTTAAAAGTTATCATGTTCCAACCTTTTAATGTGGTTATTTTCAGTATCACCTTTTTTACAGCATGGAAATCGTAGGAAAAGTTTTTTAATACTTTTCTGTTTTTCTGTTCTACACTTTTTATCTTTGTTACAAGTGCTGATTTAAATGGTGGACAAAATGAAAAAAGTTTATGTTGTGTGAAAAAATTAATTTGTGGTTTTCCAAAAGAAGTACTTATTAAATGCAAAAGAATAGACAAGAGGTCATTATCATTCATTGACTAGAGGTCATTATCATTGCCATCTAAAAAATAACGATTTTTTAAGTTTTAAAAAAAATTGAAAAAAAAAAACGCTAATAAAGCATAGCTAGATTTTTTACAAACATTTTCTAATTGTGCCTATGTATCTCAACACACTATTTGAATTGTATAAAACCTTAGTTCCGTTGTTTTTTAGAACATATATACAGGCTCTGCAAATGTTTTGCTTTTCTTAATAATTTTTCTCAAATCTTTTTCAGTAGTTTGTTATTTGTCTCCATGACTTCCTCACTTAATGATTAAAGAACTGTGTTACCGTTTAACTCAATAGGTTTCCAAGTATGAACTGATAGTTTATTAATAATCGTTGTCAAACTAATCCACTGGAATTTTTTTTAAGTACCAGCTAGAAAGAAATGTTAATCTCTTTACTTTTCTATATTTCTGTTTTATAACTAGATAACATAACACGAATAATACAAAAAGAGGCAACAAGACAACAAGAAACAACATCTCTATGCTAATATTCTGTCATGTTAATATTGTCAGTAATCATTTTTTTAATTTTTTTCGTTGTGCAGAAGTAGTTTAGCTACATTATCAGTTGTAATAATACTCCCTTGACCTGATGAATTTATAAAATCCCACCTGATTTTTTTCTGTTGATAGTTAACTTCTGTATTCTCATTATACAAATTATAGATTGTATAGATATTAGATCCAGCTAATGGAATAGCTGCTTACCCATGAAGCACACCATAATAATAAGTTGAAAAATATCTGCTTCATGGTTTAATATCTGTACTTATCATGAATCCAGGTTCAACTGTATCTTCTATCTTTGCATTGTTCCTTAGATAAATCACAAAAGTTGCAGTAGTTGCTTTAAAGGGATCCCAAACTCCCAACACATGTTGTGTTCATTTTAAAGATAATGTTAAAAAAAAAGGTTTGAACCAAATTTTTTTGATTAAAAATAAATAATGAATGCATACCGTGAAAAACAAATGTTATTGTTTTTGCCGAAGCTCGTCTTCTCCATTTTTTTCAACTACTCGGAGTCTTCAAATTATGCGTCGCAATCTACAGACTTTGGCAATTCCTTTGAAGCGCGTTTAATTCATAAAAGTTTTAGTATTTGACGTCACGATAGACTTTTAACAAAAGAAAAGTGTAATTAAACTTAGCTGCGTTTTTATACTGTAGTATTTTTTTAACATACAGCAAAACAAATTTATTTGTATTATTTTTCTTAACATCGCAAAAAAAATTTTGTAAAAAGTAAAAACAATAAATTATTTTTATTTTATAGGAGCAACTTATTTTTTACAGATATCTTAATAATTTTTAGATTTATATATCTTACTTATATTTCTTTTAATTTAAATTAAAACAAATATTAGAGATTTACTTACCAATCTCATGATTTTCATACGAGTATTTTACATTATATAGAACGTTTTATATACGGTCTCTTGTTTTAGCGCAAGAGAGCGCAGTATTATATATTCTGATTCTTAATTATTTTTATTTAAACAATGGGAACTATTTTCTAACTTCTCTGGTTATTTTTAGGCTATGACAATTTTTTGTTTTCCCGTTCAAAAAAAGTATTTATTAACAATTACTTTCATAAACTAACAGTATTAATTAGAGATATTTAATGAATTGTTAACTTTTATTATTATAAAATTTTTTTGATCACGCTGATTTAATTTAAATTGCTAAATTTGCTGAATTGGATACAGATAGAAAGGAAATACCATTTTATTTTACATTTGACTTTTGACAATGAAATTTTTAAAATGTCAGCAACTCCATACCAATTAGAACCTGTTAAGATTATGAAAAAAAATACAAGAATACACTAAACAATAGTTTAGTGTATTTTTGTACTTTTTTTTTAACACTTGACAGTAGTATCAGATATGAAAATTCGTGAAAGGATATGTGAGATCCTGATTTTGCATTAAAAGTACAATTAATTGCAACACAAGTCGGCATTATAAATCTTGATTATAAGTTTACTGTTCAATATTTTATAACCATCAAATAAAAAACATAAAGTTTGTATATTTTCGCCCGTTTTATACAACTAATATTTAAAAAAATACGGACAAATTATTATTAAATAACGCAATAATTAACACATTAATTAAAGGCAATAATTCAAGATAGATGGTAATTTAAATTGTTAAAATGTCATAACGCGAATTAAAAAACATATTATATTTGGTATTTCCAAATTTGTGTCGTAATTGGCATTTGTCTCTTAACATGAAAAATTAAAAATTTTGAAAAACACAATTACCAAATACAAATTTTCAAGCAATTTTCTATTCCAATTCTCATTTATTTAAAGAAAATTAAGCTATAAAACTTTTATTTCTCCCATCTAAAAAAAGAATGAGTGACGCAAAAAAAATATATATATTCTTTACAACTCTTATTCATTCAAAGTTTAATTGCGCGAAACTTTTCTTTCTCTTTTGTTCTACTCTTTTATAAAAAGAGCGCCCGATGAAATAAAAACTTTTATTTTTTAATATATAATTATAGTTTGAGATAAAATTAAATTAGAAATAAACCAACAATGAGCAAAGCAACGAACAGATTAATCTGGAACTATTTTGATATTTATGAAAATAATCAACATAAACAACATTACCAACAGCAGTTATCAAATAAACAACACAATCTCGCATAATTTTAGAGACATTTTATTTTTATTGCTTAGTCGTTCTAAATAGTAAGTAATTTTAGTTCAAGTTAATAATTCAATATTTACAGCTGCAATATAATAAAGAAATTGTGTTTAATACTGAACTTTTTATTTAGTTATTTATTTTTTTACCTACATTTGTTATAAAAAACTTTAGAACCCCCGTCATTAAAATAATTTGTTTTAAATATATTTCGACGTGATTATTCAAACTAATTTTTTTCGTTTGACTTTCCGAACTTCATGCAAAGCAAATTGAAACGAAATATCGTCTAACCAAATAAAAAAGCTGTTACTAATTTTATACGGGTAATTAATGTAAAACAATTTTTGAGCTAATAAATAGTAGAAAAAAAAAAAAAAACTAAACAAGTAATCAAAAAAACTTCGACTAAAAATAAATAAAAATATTTCCAGAGTTTCTTTAGTTAAAAGTCTACCGTGACGTCAAATACTAAAACTTTTATGAATTAAACGCGCTTCAAAGGAATTGCTAAGGTCTGTAGATTGCGACGCATAAGACTCCGAGTAGTTGAAAAAAATGGAGAAGACGAGCTTCGGCAAAAACAACAACATTTGTTTTTCACGGTATGCATTCATTATTTATTTTTAATCAAAAAAATTTGGTTCAAACCTTTTTTTTTAACATTATCTTTAATATGAACACAACATGTGTTGGGAGTTTGGGATCCCTTTAATAATATACCGTAAACGGGGGTGAATATGAACGCTTTTTGAACATTTTTGCATTATGAAAGAAAACTGTTGGCCTAATCGCAACCATTTTTTCTGTAACAGAACATTATACTACTCAGCTTCCTGTATTAGTCGTAAGCCTGATCAACACTATGCAGTAAATACCTTAGTTTTCTGGTTTTATACGAGCATATACGTATTTCCGAAACGGGGTGAAAATGAACGGCCAATTTGGGGTGACTTTGAACACTACATATTATTTCTATATTCTAGTATATCGCTATATTACCTTATTACAATGGGGGAAAAAACTGTTAAAGATCAAAACAGATAACATGAAGTTTATTTTACATAGAACATATTTTTATTTAAACTAAGTTCATGTGAAAAATTAGCATACTATGTTTAAAAACTAGTTTTTTCAATATATTAACATGTATCACAATATTTACAAATCTGTTCCACATAAAAACAGAACATTAAATATCACTATCCTCAAATTCTTCAAATGACTCACACATGCTGCATACAAAGTATAAGATATTTTCAATATTGAGCTCATAATAATCATCTTTATCATAAATGAGGCCACAACACTGGAGGTGATATGGTTTACTGCATTTGTCGCATTGAACGTCGCTTAACTCTACCCATTTTTTCTTACAGAAAGTACAGTACCAATCATTATCTGTGTTGCTTTTTAGCTCTGTTGAATTTGATGGAGTTGACTCAACTAAAGAATGAATTCTTTTACCTGGTA